TCACTAAGACCTGGAGATGTGACTTTTGCTGCAGCCTGCAAAACTGGGAAGCAGTGGACTGCTGGGCAGGAGTCGTATCAGCAGCTGGAAATACAAAGGAAGAGAGGAAGAAATGTTTGTCTCTACCCCAGGCTCCCCTCTTTATCCCCACTTTCCCTTCTGCAGGCACATAATGGACAGTCAGCAGGCAATTAGAAAATTCTCTCATGACTTGTCTCTCCTGGCTCTGGCTTTTCACGACCTGCTGCTGGGGTAACCATGTCCCAAACCGCTTCCCCAGGCTGTCGGAGGTGCTGTGCAGGGCACTGCAGGCATGCCGTGTCCTAGGAAATGCAGCAGCGGGGAGTGCGGATCAGCTGTAACAAAGCAGGGCTGGCCACGGGCAAGGTAGAAAAGGGCCTGAGGGACAGCAGAAACTGCTGTGGCTCTACAGCCCTTGCCCAGGCTGAGATGATCTGGCAGATGCTGGCTGCTGTAAAGATTTGGTGGTGATGCGCAGTTAGGAGCACAAAGGTTAGAAATTGTTCCTGGGGCGGGCTCAGCGGGGATGCAGACTCACAGCACCAGCCGTCAGGCACCCCCAGCATCAAAGTCCTGCTCGAGCCTCTGCGTTTCCATCACTAGAAGGTGATAACGGGGTTGGGGACTTTGCATCGAACTACTGTAACTTACGAAAGTGCTGCCACCTTCCTAAGCTCAAACTGGATTGCAAAGGGAGTAAAGAACTGCTGATTTCCAACAGGCGAGGGCAACTGCTGCCTTGATGGAGGGTGGGACCATAATCCAGGTATCAGCTCCAATGTTGCCCAGCTATCGTCTTCCTTGTCCTAAAATCCTGCCTCTGCTTGTGACCCCATACAAAGCTCTGCTGGTGGCCCATGCTTGTGGGAAGTTTCAGCGCAATGTTGGGATCAGCCCGCGCTGCCTGCTGGCGGTGGTCAGCGGCTGCCAGGTGCCCTTGGTGGACACCTTGGGGAGGCTGGGTGGAGGTCAGCTGCACCACCATCACCAGCAGCGTGTCCCCAATCTGTCTGCTCCCACGTGGTTGTGCGGGGAGGAGGTGAAGCACCATGTTGGTGCCTGTGGGAGAGACACCACGGCAGTGCTTCCTCCTGGGGAAGTGCTTCCAGGGACATCAGAAGCAGAAGCCTGGGCTCTCCAAGGCAAGCATACCAAACGTTCTTGCAGTACAACGGGGCTGCTATTTCTACTGCCCGCTGAGTAAGGAAATGATTCATTCTAGAATGCTGCTGGCTCACAGCAGGAAAAAAAATCACTGCCATGTGTCTTAGGCTTTGATACTGACCATGTGCAATCTGACCAGTATAACCATGCCCCAAGCTGGCTCAAACTCCCTCTGCTGCATAAGCCAAAAGCACCCTGGTGTGGCATATAAGATTAACTGAGCCTCAGTGATATTCTAATTACAAATATTCATTAACTCAGTGTTAGCTTTAGCAAAGGTAAAGAAAGGAAGGCATCTTCACTAACATCCCCCTTGCCTAAAGCAGGACATTGTTACGAAAAAAAGAAAAGAGAGATTTTTGCAATGTTGAAAACTGAGAAGGTTAGAATAGGTCTGGGAGATTTTTTGGTTTGATTTGCAACGTAAGTCACACCTGTGCTTTTATGAGAGGCCTGAGCACCACACCTGATGGATGGGCATTTGAATTTGGTGGCTGGTCTAACTTTTCTTCCTGGGACCACTGGCTCCTAGTGCCAATTCAGGAGTTACAATTCACTTGTTGTATCTCAGTATGTTCTTCTGTAGGGAGCAATCCTTTCTCATTGCACATTGTGCCATTACAAGCTTTGTGGTACTTTCTGTTTAACCAGGAAGGTGAATTAAAGGTCTAACTGGACTCTCCTGCTCCTCTCCAGCTCTAACAGAAGCGACGGCCCTGGCACTGAGCCCAGGGTAGAAACATTGCTGCTCCCAGCATGTTCCCATCTGGGCCGTATCCTCACCACCTTCTACCTGTCACTAGGTGTTTTAAACAGCATCTAGAAAAAGCCTTTACTCTTTCAGCAACACCTCTGAGGACTATATCTATACCTACGCCCACAGCTCTACAGCAAAGGAGCTCAAGCAGCCCTTCACTTCAACCACCAATAACACAACTGACCTTCCAGTAGGAAGAGTGGGTGCGAGGGAAGGTTTTCCTCTGGACCCTGCTAGAAGGATTTCCTAAAAGCTTACCCAAATGCTCTGCAAGGTCTCTAGTCCCCTCTCTGGGCAGCCCCGGAATATCTGAGATGACCTCACCGCCTTGTTGACCTTGCTGAGCCTCTCTACTGTCCGTGCTCCAGGCAGGGGCGGGAAGGCTGCTTGGCTCAGACTCTCTAGCAAGAAAATCATTAGGCTGACGTGCCTCGACAGCTAGGTTCTTGCAGCTACTTCTGCAAAACACCCCCTCTCATTTCAAATTGCTGTTGTATATTCATAGCTCTTGGCTCTGAGTGATTTGGTGATACTGTCGCACACCACTGGACTCTTGGATTTTATCCCAATATTGATTTTTATTTGCACAGCGATGCCTTGCAAGTGGACCTTCCTCCAGGTAAGTTTCTGCTTTGTCACCACAGTGACTGAAGTTTTTCAAGTTAAATTTCTCTTATCTCTTTGCTTGTGTTACTTTATTTTCTATTCCTTGTTCTTTCCCAAGGCTGCCCCCATTGGAATGTCTGAGTTCACTCAACTAAGTCAATGAACTGAATTTAAGTACATATGTGTTTTTACAGTGTTTAGGTAATATTTTGAATCAGTAAAGTGGTTGTCTCTACAAGGTCGTTTTGCTTGTGGGGATGCTTTTTTTTCTCCAGCAACATCACAAGCACTTTGATTCTATTAGCTGAGGGGATAAACTTCCTCCATGAGCTCCATCTCACTCCTCTTCCCCTTTCTCAGTATTTTCCATATGTTTGCACCGTTCTGGTTTAGGTCAGACACAAAGATGACTCCATGGCATTCAGCTGATTTAACCTGTCACAGGCACTTGTCATACAACTCGTGCTATGTCATCTCACCCAGACCTACCTGATCTCCCACAGGATATGTGAAAACCATACAGCTTGGTGTGAGGGCCTTGGTCCCACTCACCAGTGGTGGTCCACAGGAAATCTCTTCCGGCCACATTTAGGTATGACATTTCCCTTAGGTTTCTCTTCACAGGATCAAAGTTATCCCTAAGAATGCATACAGTAGGTGTAGCACCATGTATTTACTGGTTCAGTAAATAAAGAGTGTGTTTGGTTTGCCTCCCAGGTATGTGAATCTTGCTGTTTTGCAGATGCACAGTGAGGTATGAGGAAAGTCAGGCAGGGTTGTGCAGTGAGGCTACTGGGAAACTGGGAACTCAGCTCAGGTATTCTCAATCTCAAAATGTCATCTAATCGACGCTCTCTTGGGAAGCTTCCTTCCATCCTTTGAAATCTAAAGTAAACATAAAAATAATGGCCATGTACTCCTAAACCACTCACATCACACAAATTTTTAAATTTTAACGTGTCCCCGCTTCCTAAATGGATATTAAAAAATAACTGATCTCTACTTAAGCCAGAGTTTGGTTTGTTTCACACGCTTTGCTTTTGCTACGCCTCTCTCCATCACAGGAGCAGGGAACACAAGAGCCTTAAACCATCGGCCGGTGTTGTCAGGCCCCTGACAGCCCAAGGTGTCTATGGCAATGACGAGCACGTCATTACAACTAACCATTGTCATGGCAAATAGTGCTTTTAACATGCATTAAAGCAAGTAAATAAAAAGGGGAAATTATTTTAAGCTTTACAGAGTGTTATCTACTTGTGCTCCCTCAAAGAGATTTGAGACTATAAATAGTTTTTTGCAAGTCTTGTTCTTTTCTTACAATACTTGGCGATGCTGTACAATATGCTTCCCCTTATCCCAGAGCTGAATAAAATACCGAATCCAATAAAGCAGTCTGCCCCATCCTCCCTCTCTGGCAAGCGTTCATCTTCTGGACTTTGGGATTTCAGCATCCTTTGCCAAAAAAATGGGATGGGTGAGGAAAACTACGCATCGAATGAAAGAGAATTCTGCGTTTTTAGCTGTTTACAAAGTTGTTTTGTTGTCAAGTGAAAAGCTTCCCTTCCCACCATCCGAGGAGCCTGATTACTGCAAGTGTGATGGGCGCCTGAGTGGGAGCTTGAGCTGGCTTTGGTAAACCTCCCAGTACCACCAGTAACCGTGCACTGTAACCAGCCACCACTCCCGTGCATCGCGAGTGCCTTTTCCGTGCTATAAATGAGAGGACGCATCTACTTTCTCTGTGTTTATTGCGTTACACCGAAGCAAAATGGCACGTGCTTATTTGCCGTTGTTAGCTGATGATTTCACCACACCTAAGGAATACAAGGAAAAGCAATTAAGTAGTTCAGGACTCGGTTCCCACTGAGGGGGGGCCCAGGCTGTGCGACAGGGCAGGATGAGGGCAGTGCCGTAGAAAGCCCACGCTGAGCTGAGCCCACCACAGTGCCCACTGCGGGCAGCAGCCTCCCTCAGCTGGACGCATTTTGCGTAGCACAGGAGCGAGTGAGCTTCAGCACTACCGCCCTTTCCTGGGTACGTGGCCAGAGACATTTGCTGGGAGTAGCACCGTGAAATCCATGTGCTGGAGGTGGCCATCCCCGCCCAGAGGGACCCAGTGGCGACCGCATACAGCGTGGCCATCCTTTGTGCTGAAAGTTGCTCCGAGAAGCCTCTCCCCAGGCTGGGGGACTCCACCGGCTCACACAGGACGGGACTTTCCCCGTGTCTTTCTCAGTTAGTCTTTCCCATACACCACTCCCCCCATTGTTTTAGTTCAAAAACTAAACAACACCTGTGTCGCTTAAATAATGACCTCTACAAAGTCCCTGGAGATGCTTCAGAATGGTCTCCTGTTCATCATTCATGAGGATGGAGAGGTATTAGCTGAGATGAAGACTGCTGGTGCCTCTCTGGGCCGGTGCTGCTGAAAGGAGTCTTTCTCTCTGGAACAGCAAGCTTAAAGTCATCATCTTAAAGTGTAGTCTTCAAGGACTGTGGCCAGAGGAACCCACGTGGAGCACCGAAGCTGCAAGGCATGTCAGGATTTGTTGGTTGGCTTTGATGTATCTGTAGGTTTCACTTAACTGTAGAAACTCAGTTTGCTAAGGAAATTACTGACTTCAATATCTATATTATATAAGCCTTTTTTTTTTTCCTTTCTTTTTTAATTTTTCATTCTCCCAACTGTGGCTGGATGCCCAAAAGCAGCAAATCAGTGCTGGCGACACGTTTGAAGAACCTGGAGGTTGCACATCCTCACCAACCCGCCTCTTTGTAGACATTGTTCAGCTGAGTGCAGATTTCATTAGTCACCTTCTCAAAGGAAGTTTTGCAGTCTCCGCCAAACTTCTCCTCCATCAGTTGCAAGATAATGTCACAGATAATCTAAACAAGGAGAAGGGAAGAAACAAACAGTGTAAACTTTCCTCCACATTAGAAAAATATGTCTTTTTAGTTGGGATTCTTGGAGGATGGAAAGGGGGTGCAAAACCAACTCAATAGCATATAGCATGCAGAGCTGGAAACTGGTCATGGAAAATTAGGTTCATTATAGAATTCACCAAAAATTTTAGTCACTGTTGTTGTTTTTAACTATCCTGTATCTAGTTAATGCTGACTGCACCCATATACACAGCACTTAAAGACTGCTGTACAGGACTGGTTCACTTTGTCCATCTACTACAATCCTTCTCCTGACAGTGGACTGTCCAAAATGTTTAGAGGCCATGAGGATCACATGTTGGACACCTATGGAATACATGGTTTGGGGAGGAAGTTTCTTCTTAGTCTTTCCTGCTCGTTAGCTATCTAGCACTCTGTAGCAATGAGGGTTGGTTTGTCTTTACAGTCACTAGGTAGGTGATATACTTTGAAATGTCAACTCCTTTTTTGTGCAGCATATATTATTTTGTGTGCATCTTTAACCTGAAAAAGTCTTTTCAGGATCTCTCCAGGCAGAAATCCTCTCTTATTCGCCCACTGATTGAAAATTGGGCCTACTACTTTGGAAACCACCCTCTTGGTGCCTGAGTGACCTTTGCCAGAAGGTGCCTCTTTTTGCATTTTGTGCTGCGTAAGGCAGACAAAATAGTTATAAACACCATCTGCTAGTGACCTTAGGTGGACTTGGGCAAGTCATTTGATCCCATGTTTATTATCTGTTTTTGTTTAGTGATGGCAATGGTGTTGCTGTTGTTGTTTAATAACGACTGGTTTAGTTGTTCTAGAAAATCTCAGTTCCTGTTATTAGAGAAAAAATAGACATCATGGACTGAAGTCCAGCGTAAGCTGCTTTTCTGTGTCTTGTTATTAAATGACAAGCGTGTGTGAATCCTGTTGCACTGAGAAAACCCATTCAACTCGTGGGCAACTTGGCAGCTCCCACCTGAGCAGACCTGCCTGCATCACATCTGCTGCACAGCCTCCTTCCCAACAGATGCTGGATCTCTCATTCCTGCTATCTTCCACCACTGACTGCCTCACCTTCCACCATCTCCATTCTCTGAAGCATATATATATTTATATATACAAAGCCTCTTTTCCTCCATTCTTCCCTTCCAAGGGGAAGACATCCTCTCATCACAACACTCCCTGAGAAGAGGGCTGCTGGCTCACCCTAAAGTTTTTGGGGTCAATCTTCAGCTGGGTGGCATGTTTCTGGCCGAGTGGGTTCACTATCCCAAGAAAAGCTTCAGAGTTGTCCAGGTGTTGCACCATGTCATTGATGGCAGTGAAAACCCTCTTGCCGTGGCCCCTGACCTGATCCGACTGTTTCATCTCTTCGGCGGAGTCCATGCCTTTGAAGTGTGCGAAGTAGGACTTGGTGTCTGGGTGCTCGGTAAACATCCTGTTGAGAAATGACAGATGTCCTAACTTGTGGACCAAAGGATTGATGCAGATATGGCTTCACATTCCAAGCCTTATCTTATGCATTTATTGCCCTTTTTCCTTCTCTTCATTAGAACAGACATTTCTTTCCCCTGCATTTCTTGGTTCTCCTTTGCCCTTCCCACCTGTGCACAGCCCCTGTGCCCACGGCAGCCTGTTCCCTCCTTCACCTCTCCCAAGGTCACTTCCCTTTGTTCACTCCACCTTAAAACCTAGCTATCCTGAATTTATTCTGCTGCTTCTAAAGTAAACATTGCCTCAGTGTTGACTCAGTGTTAGGTGGAGATAAATTCCACAAGGCAGTGGCAGCACATTCATACTGGGTGAGTGTGGTGGCACAATATTCCCTAAGATGGTCTGCACAGCAGATATGTCCACTGTGCTCTCAGTGGGTGTTTCCATGGAGAAACCCTACTGTTGGTTTTGTTACTTAACCCCTTCCCAGAGTCCATCCCAAAGCTTTCTTACTGCCTGTGATGGATTGTTGTTTGAGTACCAGGTACTGTTCATGTCATTTAAGGTAACACAATTCAATGCCACTCGTAAAGGAATTGCCTTTTATAATACACCAATTACAGTCATCTTGGTCTAGCTCTTAAATAAGCAGTTTATTCCATTGGGTAAACCAGTTACCCACCTGAAATAGCAATGGCAAATTCCAGATCGCATTTCACAGAGTTACAGGATGGTTGGGCCTGAAGAGACCTCTGAAGGTCATCTGGTCCAATCCCCCTGGCTAAGCTGGTTGCCCAGGGCCATGTCCAGATGGCTTTTGAATACCTCCATGGATGGAGACTCTACAGCCTCTCTGGGCAACCTGTGCCAGTGCTCAGTCACTCTCACAGTGAAAAAGTGTCTCCTGATGTTCAGAGGGAACCTCCTGTCTTTCAGTCTGTGCCCATTGCCTCTGGTCCTGTCCCTGGGCACCACTGAGAAGAGCCTGGCTCTGTCTTCTTTGCATTCTCCCTTCAGGTTTTTATACACATTGATAAGATCCCCCTGAGCCTTCTCTTCCTCAGACTGAGCAGTCCCAGCTCTCTCAGCCTCTCGTCATAGGAGAGATGCTCCAGTCCCTTCATCATCTTTGTGACCCTTCATTGCACTCTTTCCAGTATGTCCATGTCTCTCTTGTACTGGGGAGCCCAGAACTTCTCTAAAGTCAGGGCTGGGGCTGTAGGACACTAAGGGAAAACCTTCTAGAGTAAATTACCCTGGGGAGCCAAGCCACTGGAGGCTACTAGCATTTTATAGCTGCATTTCTGACCCTACTGTCCTCAGGTTGTGTAGACTGCAGAAGGAAAGAGCAGTGCATAACATTTTTTGAGGCTGATCCAGGCACAAGATGTGATATACAAGAAAACCAGAGGCAGTGGGAAGGCATGATTACCAGAAATAGTATTTGCGTATTCAGTGATCAGTGTGTATGGAGGTGATGTAAGTCCCAGCTGAGAGAGGGATATGTGAAAGGTGAATAGAAGAAACTTCAGTCTTATGGAAGAACAGAGGAAAATAGAGTGAAAACTAAGAGAGGAAAGCCCACGGGAAGGGTACAATACAATGAAATAGATGGGCTCTGGACTGGAAAGGCTGAAGGTGAATCAGAAGAGAAATATTGAGGATGTGCAAGTTTAAAAAAAATCATTACAGGAGTTTAGGTGTAAAGGGGAAGAGGCAAAAAGGGCCCATGTTTTCTTCCCATTCTCTTTCATACCACACTTTCTTTTCTTTACCTTAAATGGCTGCAGTGAAGAAATTGTTCTCATCTCTTCTTCCTTTCCCACCCCCTCTCTGCTTTCCTTTTATTTTTCTTTCTCTCTTCTCTTCCCCATTTCTTCCCTGAGGTGGGATAAACCACAGCAAACCAAAATGCTCCCAGCAAGGGCTGCATGAAACGCATCGAGACATGCTCCTAGGTGGTAACTCCATCCTTCTTGCCGTTCCTCATTCAACCCTCTGGGGTAGCAGCAGGACGGGATCTTTCCTTACCTGACCAGCACAGTTGTCCCATTGTCCTCAGCATCCACATACATCTTCTCCCAGGCTCCACGGGCACTTTGCACCTCTGCTTCAGAGAACGACATGACGGAGGAGATGTTGGCAACAAAGGGCGCAGCAGGAGGGAGAAGGACAGGGAAGTCCTGGCTGGGCAGTTCTGCTCCAGTTCTCTCCTCCTCTCCTCAGGGCTCTCTAAATACTGCCCCGGGGATTTAAGAGCTCTTCAATGGACTCTTTGTCTCCATTCTCCTCGGTCACATTTCTGCAGGCTTTAGGGCTGCCTAATCACTTTTAATCAGGAAAGAAACCAACCACATGAGGAGGGAGGACTAGCACTCTCGCCATGGTGTCAGGTGCCAGAGCAAAGATCTCGCTGCCTGAAGATTGAAGGGAAAAAAGGGAGTTTTCTGTGGGGAAGAAGAAGATCAGCTCTCCTCCCCTCTCACCCCTGCCGAGGCCAATGCTTGGCTTCTCTTTCCCAAGGGGGACTCTTGCCGGAGCACTAACTTTCCTCATTTTCTCCCAAGAGCACTGCTGTGCTGCGGGCAACGAGGTGCCTGCCGTCCCCTCTTCCCAGCGCCTCTTGGTCCTTCAGTTGTCCAAAGATCCTGTTTCCAGCTCCAGCAACCCCCTCCAGCCCTGCTTGCGTGCCACGGTCACTGCGTTCCCCACAGCAGTCTGGTTTAGCAAGGACTCGCCCCGCGGCTGCTCCCAGCCTCGCTACCGGGGGGGTGTGAGGCATCACCAGCCCACCACGACCACGTTGCAGGGATGGTGGTGGCAGCATGGGCACAGCATCTGTGGACGCGGTGCCCTGGAAAGCCACCTCATTTTGATGCAGGAGATGATAAATGGTGCTGGACAGCCAGGCCGGGAGCACAGGCGTTTCACAACCCTAATCCTTCTGGGATGTCTGTCCTCCCCCTAAGCCTACCTGGCTGGGAAGGAGAAAGAGATAAGGGGCAGGAGAAGGGCCAGCGTGGAGCTGAAGATGGTGCCTATGGGCCCGTAATTGTCATGGTCACTTGGAACCAGAGTCAAAAAAAAATCTTGGATAATCCACATGGCACCTGGGCTTAACCTCTGGCAGGAATGTTCTGGTTAAGTCCAGGGCACGCACACAAAATCAAGGCTAAGGGGCTTGAGGAACTGCTGCTGGACGCCGAGCGCAGACAAAAACTCTTATTGTTTGGGATGGTTTAGAGGAGGGAAGGAACAGGCACGAGGGGGGAATGTGTGGCACGGTGAGCACAACCAGCCAAAGAGCCCAGAGCAGAAGAAAAGTGGTGGTTGCAGCCTCACAGAAACCAATGGGTCTTGGTGGGCTTGTGTCCCACCGCTGCCGAGTGATGCCTCAAATGACTTCACTGAAGCTACCCTCCGCCGTGCCCCCCTCTCCCTTTTCACCACAGCAAGCAAAGAGTGGTCTGACAGAAAGCTGGACAGCCTTCTGCTTCCTCATCCCAAAATCCGCAGAAAAATGCCCCAGATTTCAGGAGATCCCCAGGCGGGGGACACGCGGTGCTGCCGGGACCGCTGCCTCTTTGAAGGCAAACACAAACCAGTCAGACGCCGGCCGGCCGAGCCCCACCACCAGCGCAGGGACGCAGAGGAAAGAACAAGGACATCACCGCAGGAGTCGGTGGGTCCCAGGCCTCGGGAGCCAAAACCGCCTGGCAGGAGTTTGGTAGGAAAGCACCAAGTTTTTGGTCGAGAGCAGAATGTGTGGCGGGTGCTTGTCATGGGTGGCCTGGGAGGGAGCAAGCTGCTGAGGAAAGAGCGGTGCCAATTTTAGCCGAAGGGAAAGGGGCCCAGGCAGGTCTGGAGCATGGAGGTACAGCTGCGTCTTCTTCTGCATGTGGATGACTACTCGCTTGCAACTTTTCCTCCTCTCTGTAGGTGTCGTGTTCTCCTCGTGGGTCCTGGTGCACCCTGACTTGCTGTAGACACTTTTCGGGAGAAGCTGGAGCACGGTGGTGAGCCCGGCACTCTGGCCTGAGCTACGGTAGCAATGCACATTGCTCAAGGGTGCATCTTCCCGCTTAGCTTTCTTAGCCTTTTACTCTTCCTCTCCCTTGTTCGCCTTTCCCTTCCCTCCCCTTTGTTTTTTGCTAGCAGCAGCTCACAAGCAAACCTCAGCTTCACTAGAGGACATCTCCTCTGCTCTTCCCAGTCTCATCTGGGACATTGCTTTATGAAGGCACTCATTCCCTCGATATATTGTCAGACATCCTGTCATGGGCCAAAAAACACCTGTTTTGAGTTGGGAAATTTCAATCACATTAATTTGTTGCCAAGTAACAAACCAACCAACATTTAGGCATCTCTCTTCCCCCCACCCTGGTCCCCCATGCCTGTGCTGCAGGTTACATCCAGGCCCTTTGGTGAGACCCTGGGTGGTGCTGGAGCTGGGGGTCATGCACGGGGGTCCCTTTGCTCTCACTGCTCCCTCTGTCCTACTCAACTGCTCTGGCGTGGGCTCCTCCACCGGTCACTGTCCCTTTGGGTGTCCTCGTGTCTTTGTCCCTCCTCAGGCAGCTCTTTTCCTTTGGTGTCCCTCTCCTGCTCTGCTGCCCCTCCTGCCCCTGCCCTGCCATGTCTCTTGTGTCTCCTCCTGCCGTGGCCCCATCTCTCCTTTTCCAGTATTCACTGCCCTTTCCTAAACATGTTTCCACAGAAGTACCATCTAGTTTGTCCAGTTTTGGGGTGCAATGGGTCAATTTTGTCTGGTGCCAAGCCTGACCTTCTGCCACACAGACAAAAACAATGATGCCTCAAGCATGTCACGGTGCTCTCTGTGACACACTTTTCTGTCCTTTCCCTTCACCTTCTGGTGTTACTTTTACTGTTTTGGAAAACTATCTCCCATTTCCCCCCTGCACAATTTGCCAAGTCCTTGTAAGATGAACACAGTAATTCCTCATACAGTTTTGACATCTCTAATAAGATTATACACATCTGTACTACACCTCAGGGGTTTCTAGAAATTGAGGGGGAAAAAAAAACCTCCAGAAGTCTATTTTTTTTGGCCTCAAAGTGGTATTGCTGTGAAAAAATTGTGGTTTAATCATAAAGTCATCACATTTTTGCCAACGCTCACCCTCCCCACCCTGTGGGAAGAGGATGCGTGCTTGGTTTATTTCTTTTTCCTCTCCCATGGTTTGTTTTGTTTAATATCCCAAAGAAAATGAACGCTCTTAAGTGTAATTTCTGCTGAATGGGGAGAAGCGTTTTCTAAGGGGGATGCTGGGCAGCGCTGCAGAGACAGCCCCGGCCACAGACGGGATGCTCCTCAGCAGGCAGGGTCAGGCTGAGGGGCCGAGGGCATTGGGAAATCCTGAGCAGGGAGCACAGCCGCGGTATTTCGGGCTGTGCGCGGCGGCCAAGCTTTTCCTGGCTCTGTCCCCAGCCAGGGAAGCCGAGGACGTGGCCTCCTGCCGCGGTGCAGGGAAATGGCGGCAGTTCTGCGAAGTGGGTTTGTTTCCTTTCGGTTTCTGAGAAACCGCGTGCTTTAGGCAGAAGGCAGCCGGCGAGCTCCGGTGACCGAAACAGGCAGCATTTTCTACCTGCCCAGCCCTTTAGAATCTGGCAGCAATGACTGCCTGCAGAGCTTGTTGATGCCCTGGTCACAGGCACCGCAAAGCCGCCCATGTTTTCTTCTCCTTGAAAGTTTGTGACCTGTTATTTAAGTTTCATATTTAATATAAATGAACCACCCTATTTATTATGCAACAGGGGTTAACCCCCAGCTCAGCAGACGTACCTGTTGTAGATGATGGCTGGAAATGGGCTCAGCAGCTCTAATTCTTATTTTCCCAACACCCTCCATATGGTCAGACCGAGGTTAGAGCCCCCCATAGCAGGTATTGCCAGGTTTCTCAGATGCTCAGATTGAGATGCTGACACTCAGTGCTGCTTTTACAGAGATGACAAGCACCCGCATCTGCTCTGTGCTCAGTCCCCGAGGTTATCAACATTACTAGCTCATCAAAACAAGAAAAATTAGGAGGTGCGATCGCGACTGCTGGTGTCAATGTCTGACTGACAAAGGCCACATAGCACAGGGGTGGGAAAGACCTGGGGCAGACACAAGCAGCTTTCCCAGCTGCCACCAGACTGCACTTCTCCCTCTCGTTCAGAGAGCAGTAGTGGGCTGGGCAGGAGATATGTGGCACTTTGAGTGGCTGAAAGTACGAAGTCCAAAGGGTAAAAAAAAGGCAGGAGTACTCAGCTACTTCTTCAGACCTAGCCACCCAGAATGGCTCTCACATGGTTTACAGAAAAGTACCCTTTGACACAATAGAAAGGCACACAGGTTTCTGTTGTGAATACTTTTATTGCGTGCATAAGATTTTAAATGTGAAAAAAAAGGTGATGTGTTCAAGATAGTTCGTTTTTTATACATCATAGGGCATAGCATATGTACAGATTAATGCTCTGAATGCTGCTTTAGTGATTGACTGCATTAAGTACATGGCTAGCGGTGATTCTGACACAGTATTACAACTAACAAAGATGCCAGCACGGAGTTTTCATGCAGTGTACCCAGCTAACCAAGTATCTGCCCTGGGACAGACTGGTGTTGAGCAGGGAAACTCTACACTCTTAGCGAAGGGGAAACAAAAAAACCTACAAAACAACCCCAACAAGTGATGCAAAGGTAGTCACCACATCCCACCACCAGACTGATACTCAGCCAGTTTACAAGCAATAGCTACTTTGGAGAAATTCCCCCCAGTTTCATTGCTGAGCAGGAAGTTCCAGGGTATGGAACATCCCCTTGGTCAGTTTGGGTCAGCTGTGATGGTTTTGTGCTCTCCCAGCCCCTTGCTGCCCTGAAAGCCCCCACCTAGGATTTATGCTCGAATCAAGGGAAAAGCTTGACATGAGCCGGCAACTCACAGACCAGAAGGCCAACCATATCCTGGGCTGCATCTCAAAAGCAGCGTGGCCAGCAGGTCGAGGGAGGTGATTCTGCCCCTCTACTCTGCTCTGGTGAGACCCCACCTGGAGTCCTGTGTTCAGCTCTGGAGCCCTCAGCACAGGAAGGACATGGACCTGTTGGAGCAAGTCCAGAGGAGGCCACAAAAATGACCAGAGGG